CATGGAAACGAAACGTCCAGGATGTTCTGGTTGGACGATACAGGCAGTAGTGAAAAGGCAACAATGGGATATAGGAGCTACCCCCGTGGATACCCCTATAATGGTTCGAATTATGTGAATGTGACTATGCCACTGAGACACCCTACCAGCAGAGTGGCCTACATCTTCTTTGGATCCGGAGTGGATGTTCAGAGTTTCAGCGTGCATGGAGACTCAGAAACACTGGACATCTATCTGGCCACCGGAGATCACACCTACACCATCTATCTGTACACAGATATGGTTCCCACCAAGCCTATGGCCATGGTGTTGATGGACCAAAAGAAAGTAGTGTTTGAAAGGACAGCAGGGACAAATGAGCAGCCCTTGGAGGAGGTAGAGGAATATGTTAATGTTGTGGAGGACAATCTGCAGCATGTCAAACCAGTCTTCCAGCAGCTGGAGAGGCACATCCTTTCACGGGTTCTCAACATGGACAGTTTCCACAAAACTGCAGAGCGCCTCCTAAAGTCCTCGGACAAGAGGAAGACTCCAGGGACTGTGGAGAAGATGTTTTCCCTTTCTAAGAAGCAAGGGAAGGGGAAGGGAGGCAAGAAGGCGAGCTTTTCCGACAGCCTCCCAGACATCTTTGCTCAGATCGAGGTGAGGGAGAAGAAGGAGAGGCAGAGGACGATGAAGCGCGTCTATGAGGAGGCTCCGGAGGAGACCGGCGGCGACTCGAGGGCATTCATCGATTACAGTGATTTAGGAAAGGGCAGGAAAGTGGGATTTGTCAAGGGGCGGAAATTCAAAGAAGTACGTGTGGGGGCTACGGCAGAGAGCGACAATATGTTTAACGCCACCTCGTACATTCGCCTTTTCCTGATTTTAAATATAGCCACTTTCTTCGTCCTGCTGGCGGTGCTGATGACGCGCTTCCAGAGGGCGCAGAGTTTGCATACACAGCGTTGTCTTTACTGCGTCCTCCTCATAGACAGCTTCATCCTGCTCTGTCTGTACTCCTCCTGCTCTCAGACGCAGTGCTGACTAACATCATCCCTGTGAGACATTCAGAATGGAGCTCTTCGACTAAGTTTTGACACCAATACTATGGGAAAATATCCCTGTTTGCAGCAGCAGTGCATACAAGTGATGGCATGTGGCTCTTTCTCATAGGCACAGTCTCATCTTTACTGTGAGATGCGTGGAAGTGTCTTTATTCAGCACAGCTCAGTGCCAGCCAACAGGTGTCTGGGAAAAGTTGATTCCATATAGGAATTAATAGATGTTGCGAAGATAGCCAGCCCACCTCAGATCAAAAGCTTTTGTGGAGCTTTGAAATGAACTTTGTCAAACATGAACTTTGTCTTGAAGTACACTCTTAAAAATAAAGGTGCTTCAAAAAGGTTCTTCAAGCGATGCCATAGAAGAACCATTTTTGGTTCCACAAAGAACCATTCAGCCAAAGGTTCTTTAAAGAACCATCTCTTTCTTACCTTTTTATAATCTGAAGAACCTTCTTTCACCACAAAGAAACTTTTGTGAAACAGAAAGGTTCTCCAGATGTTAAAGGTTCTTCATGGAACCATTTAGATAAAAGGCATCATGAAGCACCTTTATTTTTAAGAGTGTATAGAGCCCTGCACATACCATAAGAGTGGGGAAAATGAAGAATTCACTTCCACAACATTACTAATTTGTGGAGGGAAAATATAGTTGAAGTGTTGGCATATTATAGTAATATATTCCCTCGTTTTAGTTAAATTATGGCCACGGTTTAATTGACACGAGGTAACGAATTAACAAAACATGGCAACAAAATAAGTTGTGAGAACAAATTTCTAAGTCATGACTAAAGTATCTATTCTTTAGCCCCTTGCAAATGTCATGTTTGGGGCTCCGTATTCTCCATGGCCTCCTACTATTATCCTGATTCACTGCAAGCTATGCACATTTGGTAACAACATGGACTATCTTTTATCATAAAATGTGTAAAATGTATATATGTTGAAGCAAAGTATATTTTTTGGATGTTGTTTTATACTCTTCTATTAAAAGGCAACTACAGAAATATGTGTATTTTGGCGATTTCTTTATATGTGACCCTGGAGCACAAAATCAGTAATAAGAGTAATTTTTTTGATATTGAGTTTTATTCATCATCTGAAAGCTGAATAAATACGCTTTCCATTGATGTATGGTCTGTTAGGATAGGACAATATTTGGCCGAGATACGTCTATTTGAAAATCTGGAATCTGAGGGTACAAAAAAAATAAATCAAAATATTGAGAAAATCGCCTTTACAGTTGTCCAAATGAAGTTCTTAGCAATGCATATTACTAATCAAAAATTAAGTTTTCGTATATTTATGGTAGGCTATTTACAAAATATCTTCATGGAACATGATCTTTTCTTAATATCCTAATGATTTTTGGCATTAAAGAAAAATCCAACATTTTGACCCATACAATGTATTTTTGGCTATTGCTACAAATATCCCCCAGCGACTTAAGACTGCTTTTGTGCTCCAGGGTCACATTTATTTACATTTAGAAAATATACATTCAAGCAAACCGTTTATTAGGGAATATTAAAAACGTGATTTCCATACCCAGTAGTAGAAATGAATACAATTTTGATATGTCTGTAATGAATATGTTCAGCTTTAATATATTTTGATAGCCTTGGTGTTGGTTTGTGTCTCAATATTTTGCCTTAAGAAAATAAATTAGAGGGAAAAAAAGACAAATTAAGGGCATTTTATTTAGAACGTTTTGTCTTATAGAAAAAAAAAAGTAAACAATTTTTAGAAGGAAATTGGAAGGTGTTTTATTTCTCAGCTGTTTTGGATCTCTTATATCTGCCAGTACAGCTATTCGAGGGAAATTATTTCCCCTCATGAATAATGTGAAGAATTTAGCAACATAATGCTGTTCTTTGTGGCTCTTTGTACTTTGTTCTCTCCACCTTGCACTGATATTCAAACTAATGTGTTTTTAATTGTGCAACACGGATATAACTGTTAACATCTGAAAAAAAATAGTTTTTTTTCACAACACCACAAGAGTCTAAGAGATCTTTCATAGAGTGATTAGATTTTTTTTTTGTACTTTACTAAGCTTTAAAAAAACAAAACCGAAGCTGTAACATTTGATTTATTTTGCCAGGTCATATTTTTGTTTGACTTGCAGTAATATCTGCTCAGATGAGAACACGTTTAAAAACATCACAGACTTAATCCACAGGCACCCTTTCTTTCTTTCTTTCTAAGTAGGAACACTGATGACATTTGTTTAGTTATGATTATAAATACAAAGCTGTGTCTTACACAAAAAAAGTTTATAATTAAATTTTACACACTTAAAAAAACAAATAAAAGCACACATTTTAACAGTCCTTTATGTTTGATTACATTCATTTTCCTTATATTAATTATGTTAACAAATATTCTCTATTCTGAAGCCATTCTTTCGACAATGTTGAAAACATGTGTTATGCAATGCAAAGTAAAAGGAGATTATTCTTTTATATTATCGAGTAAAAACCCCATTGCTTCCCTTTTGGTATCATTTGTGTCACCAGATATGTTTTAGGGTTAAGGTTAGGTTTAATGTTAAACTGATGATTAAAATTGCTAATTATTTTAAGACAGATTATTGTTGACTGAACGGGACAAATTCTGTCTGGTGAGATTCTGTCTTTAGTGGGATTGTTGTTTTCATTCAGGCATAACATTATAAACATCCAAAACATGTAGAAATTATTTTAATTAAGAAAGTGCTTTAAGCTAGCAATGTGAAATAATGACTTGGAACAGAAATAAATGTCCAGAAGTGTTCAGAAGGGATTTGGTGACACCTAGGGATCCACAGCGGTACTGCAGGGGTTTTGCTAAATAGTGTGTGACGCCAAACTAATTTAAATTTAAACCATTTGTAAAATTGTAGGCCTATATGAAAGTATAGTAATTGATTATTCAATAACAATTACTTAAATGCTCTTGCAGTTGTAGAATTATAACAAAGTGAAATACATGCCTTAGTCCTGAAAAAAGCTGAAGAACTCAGTGCTCGGAATAAAAATGGTGACCGGAGTCTCCTGGTTTGCAAGCATGTATTTATTTATAATTTTGCATATGGACACTGGTAGGTTGCTTTTTAATTAGGTAGAACATTTCAAGTAGTAGCAGCCTCATATACCGTACCTGTCAACATAATAAGTACCGTATTGACCCGAATATAAGACGATGTTTTTTTCTCGGAAATACATCTGAAAAAACGCGGTGGTCTTATATTCAGGGTCTAGACTTTGACATGTCAATAATACATCCACAACAATAGGTGGCGCCAAATACGCATAAAAAGAGTGCGCCATGAAATACGTAATGCAATGCGTGTTGTAAATATCGCGAGTAAAAACTAAAGAAAAAGAAAAGCTTACAGCTGCACGAGTCGTGACGGTCACGTTAGCCTGATGCGACCAAACTCTCTTTGTGATTTTAAAACGTAAGACAGTACCCAGATTTGAAGACTACAGTAAGATTTAACTTCTACTGTTAATAAGATTTTGGTAGGCTATTATTAGACGGATAGCCTAAATGTCCGAATTCAGATGGGCTACCGGTTTTTTTGTTTTGTTTTTTTAATGGTATATCAAAAAGTGTATATTTTTTAAATGTGATTCTTGGTACATTTGACCAGTTTTTACCATACTTTCAAAACAAAAATTCAAATAGGAAAAATATGCAATATGAAAATAATTGAAAACAAAATGTGTTTTACTGAGAAAAAACAAGATTTTGTTTTTAAAAAGCCTTTTTCCAAAAAGCCATTACGGTAATATTATTTACAATTGTATGCACGATTGTTATATTTACAATAATTAGGCTATAATTACTTATACAGGCTATATTATTTAATAAGTCAATTAACAAAAATACATACATTTTTAAATAAGTAAAAGCGACCCTTTTTTATTTGTCACGTATATTTGAACCGCGCATGACGCAGGGTGACGCGGAGTTTGTCCCTCGTGCGTTTCCGTCTGACGTCTACAGGAGACTGACGTGTCTTTTCTCGCAGAAGTTTCAGCGTGAGATTATTAAGAACTGATTAGAAAATCAAGAATTAATTACATGCTTCAGTGCGACGAGAACACTAGTTCTGTAATTAAGTGGTGTCATGGCGGCAGACTGGGAGGAGATCAGGCGTCTAGCTGCGGACTTTCAGAGAGCTCAGTTTGCAGATACTGTCCAAAGGTAAAAACCATGTTGTTGTTGAGCTTCATCCCGCGCCCTGCTTTCTTATGTCTTGAAGCAGTATATCCTGAACAAGAACTTGCAAACTGACAAGAGTCTTGAGCCACAAAGTATTGGAACGCTGACGGCTCAGTTTCACGCGACATTAATGGTCGCGCGATAAAACCTCGTCGGTAGTTACTAACAGCACTACTGTGTAACGCGTCTCTATCCGTGAGCTGCTCTTCTGTTGTAACTGCAGGTGTTTGGGTCGTGTCATGATGCTCAATGATGCTCTTTGGACTCTTACAGTGTCTAGCACGTTGTAGCATACAGTACAGTTCGGAACTCATGTAGTACCATATGTCATTACGAGTAACAACATGCAGTTTTGTGCAGATGTTGTTCTTTTTCTGTCCAAAAAGCAAGATGCACTGTTGCCAACTCATTTTCAGGGGAAGCTGCTAAAGGAAGGTCGATTTGTTGCTGAAAGCTGCTAAATGACGTTGTGATGTCATTGCGCGATGACGTCATTACGTAACCACGACGCAAAAATTGTGTCGCTGCGTCAAATCTCATTTTTTATGTTAATTTGGATTTGTTCGTAGAATAATATAAATGCGTAATGTAATGTTAAATATAAATAACTTTTTATATACAGCATTGAATTGTTGAACGAAAATGTACACATTTTTGAAGAATTACAGGTTTTTGAAGAATTACAGTGAATTACCGTATCGGGCCGAATATAAGAGGACCCTGATTATAAGACGACCACCCTTTTTCCAGATGTACCTTTTGGAAAAAAGGCTTTTTAAAAACCAAATCTTGTTTTTTTTTCAGTAAAAAAACATTTTGTTTTCAATTATTTTCATATTGCGTATTTTTCCTATTTGAATTTTTGTTTTGAAAGTATGGTAAAAGCTGGTCAAATGTAGCAACAATCACATTTAAAAAATATACACTTTTTGATATACCATAAAATAAAATAAAAAAAAACGGTAGCCCATCTGAATTAGGACATTTAGGCTATCCGTCTAATAGTAGCCTACCACAATCGTATTAACAGTAGAAGTTAAATCTTACTGTAGTCTTCAAATCTGGGTACTGTCTTACGTTTTAAAATCACAAAGGGAGTTTGTGACTTTTCTTTCTCTTTAGTTTTTACTCGCGATCTTTACAACACGCATTACCTTACGTATTTCATGGCACACTGGTTTTATGCGTATTTGGCGCCACCTATTGTTGTGGGTGTATTATTGGCATGTCAAAGTCTAGACCCTGAATATAAGACCACCGTGTTTTTTCAGATGTATTTCCAAGAAAAAAACATCTTCTTATATTCGGGTCAATACGGTAGTAAAACTACACATTCTGACCAATTAGTTTTAAGCAGTGTATTAGTAGTCAGTGTGCTACACTCTAAGAAAATAATTCACAGGTTTTTACCGGCATTTTAAACGACGCATTGTATTTTGTGTTTCGGGTTAAAGGGTTTACAATGGATAACGGATAATGTCCTGGAAGATTACTAGAAGCCTACCTTTTCCATTTTTCTAGATATTTTTCTTACAGTGTACTAACTGATCAACAATCACAGGTACAACAAGGTGTATCATAAATGAGCAATTATTAAATTATTATTATTATTATCAAATTGAACAATTGCAAATAGCAATAATTTAATTCACGAGATGTGTGTACTGCTAGGCATCTTTGGTTTCCTTTTTTTTTTTTAATTTAGATGGAAAATGTGTGCCTTTTATTGTTCGAGTCACTTATCAAGAGTTGCTAAAAGTAGCCAAATAAAATTTAAAAATAGCTAAATTTGTTGCTAGGTGCTTTTGGAAGAAAAAGTTGCTAGGGTAGTCTGAAAAGTTGCTAAATTGGCAACACTGGTAAGATGAAATTCTGATAGTTTATAAGATAAATCAGTGCGATTCTTGTAAAAGTATAGCAGACTATTATAATGCATATTAACATCAGTTGTCACTCTTTATCGCCTATAATATGACTTTAGAGAAATACTATGTATATTTAAATAATATCTTAATAATGCAATACAATGACGATTGACAGATGCACAAATAAACATTCCTCAAAAAGCTTGTTGTATGATGCATTCTATCATGATTTTTCTTTTAAAAAATGTTAAAGAACCTAATTTGCTTCAGTCCAGTAAATGTTAATTTTTCAAGTATTTGTAACCATGTAAAAGTCCCTTTTATGCTTTCATTATAAAACCATTATTAAAGATTTTACAGCAAAAAAAAAAAAAAAACACGTGAAGGTGGACATTTTTAGAAAGATACTAAATAATATCAATCAGGGACGTGTAGAAGATGCTAAGCTTTGATCATGTTTTGAGGTCTTACAAATTCAAATGTCAAATGTGATAGAGTAGGTGTAATAGGGTTGATGAAATGGTTAATAACAGGGAAGACATTCCCTGTTGCTTTAAGTGAATCCAGAAATAGCACTATTGATTTGTGAATGTAGCTGCCTGTCATGTATGATTTGACCTCAGAATCTGTTTTGTTAACTACAGGTTGTCTGAGAGGAATTGCATCGAGATCGTGGCCAAGCTGGTGGAGGATAAGAAGTTAGATGTGGTTCACACTCTGGATGGGAAAGAGTATGTGACTCCTGCACAGATCGGCCGAGAAGTGCGCGATGAGCTGTATATGCACAGAGGCTAGTAGAATACTTGAATTATTTGACTTTAATAAGTGTACTGTATGTATGAGTCTACTTAAACAACTGTTCGAATCTAATGTTTTGCTTTATATTTTAAGGGAGGATTAATGTTGTGGATCTACAAAAGGTTGGTTTGATATATAACATAACACAAACATTT